AATGTTGGTCCAAATATTTTTTAAGTCCAAATTTTACTTCACAAGAGTTACATTCGAAACGATAATCATCCAAGTGCGTTTTTATATGATCGTACAAACTTTGTTAATACTTAAATTTCGCTTCACAAGTGTCACATTCAAAAGGATACCTACTTATTATTCGCAAAAATCAAACAACAAGCCTGAATCGCAAGCATTTCATCGAGGTCTGCGGATGACGTCACCACTATTAGCTGCTGAAGTGTTGACGTCACTCGCAGACCTTGTAGACTCGAGAACCGACGAACGTACGCCTTCTCAGGATGAGCAATCCTGTTAGTTTACGATTCTTGGGTTGGTTGGGTACTTGCCCCTCCCCCCCTTATGATTTTGGGCGAGCTTTTCCTCTGGATAACATCAGTCCCGCTTTTTCATTTCATAGATCTGGCAACCCTGGTTATCACTTTAAACCAGGATTCAAAATTATCCCAATCAAGAGCCGGGAATAATGAAAATTTGAATCTTTTAATACCAAATTCAAACTCTATTGTCCTCAAACTAACCCAATTAAGGAATCAAAAGCCGGGAATATTTCAAGTTTGAATATTTCAATCAATATTAAACTCAAACTCTATTGTGCAATTTGTACCAACCCAACTAGATAGACAACCAACCATACATGCCCTTCCATGTAATGTTAAATAGGAGTAAGGTTTCATACAAATTGCACCATTTTAATATTCTGATTTCTGGACACCAAATTAGAACAAAACTGCTCATAGTAAATTGCTCATTGTTGAAATTTCCAACTAGAAGTTTGCAATTATTATTAATCCAGAGGGCCAAATAACCTAAAATTGACCCAAATCGAATGAATAAAACTTCTGGAAAAACCCCCGAAAAACGAAAATTACATTAGAGTCTGGATCCCAGGAACCAGAAGTAAATTATTCTTTCAGAAGCCATTAAGGCCTGACAGACACGTGTGTGAAGTTGCGATTTTCGCTCGAGGGTTAGCGATATCACGTTTTCTTTGTGTGTGTGTGTGCTGCACAAAACTTCCTTTTTATACCTTCTTATATACGTGAGATTCAAACTTAGTTTTCCAGAGGAAGGAAAAATTCCAGGGAAACTTTTATAGTTTTCAGAGAGAAACTCCGCGGTGGAAGTTAAATTGAGTAGGATTTTTTTTTTATAGAGGACATTTTGTACAAATATTATTATGGTTGAAAGGAAATAAAAATACGAACTCCTTTAATCTGATTTCTACAATTTTCCACAGCCGGATTCGAGTAAAATTGAAATTGACAACATAAGCTCTGTGTGTTTCTTGTTGTATGTTGGTCCGAGGCTGCTGGACCAATTTATCGAGAAACTGATGGGGTGCTTTTTCAATAAACTCTATCAAAGACGGACCGGTATTTTTGTCTCTATATTGCATTTTTGTACAAAAATAGAGCTTGGAGAGGTTCAAATCGAAAAGTATATAAAGTCCAAATATTCAGGAAAATTGAATAATTAAAGCTGAAGCCGAACTGAATGTTTTATAAGCCAAAATAAGCTTTTTTTAAAACGAGGCCCGTAAATCTAGATTCGATTCCGGTCAGTTTCCGCCCTTTTGCATACTCTACGATTTATGGGCCATTTTTATAGTAATATATATTCTTTCAACGTACAGCTTTTGAATAATCATACAGTTCAGTATATTTTCGTATGGTTCTCCATTCGTAAACCAAAAAAAAAAAAAGATATATTGACCTCGATAAATTAATATATTGTGACATAATTATTCGATTCTTTTAAACTTAAAATGATAAAAATTTCAAGGAAATTGCATCATTATTTTTAATAATATTTAGGTCGGCCAATGGGATTGTCTGATTGATCGTCAAACGACCGCCTATTGACGATTCTGGGGGATAATTAATAATACTTTGCGGGGGGATCGATTTAATATAAATACCGCGGTTTTAGAAGTGGAAGGAAGTTGTCAGTTGAGAGATGAGTTCGCAGTCCTGTCCAGTTTGAGTTAAAATCTACAGTACCTAAAGTGTCAGTCTGGAAAGTTTCTTGTATTGCGTCGGTAACAGTCTTTGAAAAAGTAGCGGAAAAATTTTTAAAGAAAGAACAATTAAATTCGTCAACATTTAAGTGCGTGCTAGCTAAAAAATTTTGAGTGATTGATTAAGTAATTTTACGTGTGCAAAGTAAAATGTAAGTACTTTAGTGTTTAATAATTTTCTGACTTTTATCAATGATTCTGAATGATATGAAACAATGACTTTTAATGCCTAAAAACTTGAGTGATTTTCACTAGAAAAACTTTTGACTTTATAATTAACTGTGGAACTTCATTGCTCAATAACTCGACTGTTTTTAAAGTGGAACATTATTGCATAACTTTAATTGCCTTCAGATATAATGACATTCTAATAATTTAATTTTGCACCAAAAATATGAAGGGAATTTATAATGCACTTACCAATATACAATTTTGACTATTTTGAGTAGGGATTATGGGTTAAACAGTTGGGTTTATTAGCTAGGCATAGGAATCCGAAAATATAATTTGTTCAGATAAACTATTAACTGCAATAGGAAATTTTGAAAAGAAACTTGATGTTCATGAAATAGAATTGTTGTCTTAAAATAATGGAAAGTTGTTAAAGGAAACTTATAACAGAATTTGTTCTGATTAAATAAACTGTTGAATGGAATAGGACATTTTTAAAAGAAACTTGATGTTCATGAAATAGAATACCCAGGACCCAAACAAGGGTAACCTACGGTGAGTAGATGGCTGCGGAACTCGCTGGGACAGCTTTTTCAATTTGCCTTTTAACAGGAATTAGTAATGTTTACTTTACCAAACGAGTAGCATAATTTGACAAGTTATTCAAATACAAACGAGTGGATTGTTGCGGAACTTATGGGTGAACCTCTGCGGGACGAGCGCAGCGAGTTCCGCAGCCATCCATTCATCAATATGTTGTTTAATTACGATGCTAACCTGACTGTCTCAAATGTGAGTTATTCTCATTAGTTTAAAAACTACATGTTTCAGGTGAATGTCTTACTTGAACAGTTCAACAGTATATTGGGGAGTAGATGGCTGCGGAACTCGCTGCGCTCGTCCCGCAGAGGTCCACCCATAAGTTTTGCAATAATCCACTTATTTGTACTTGACCAATACTTTAGGTACCTATATAAAGTCAAAATTTGTAAGACTATGATTATTTACTTTTTGTCAATTTGCCTTTCAACAAGAATTAATAATGTTACTTTACCAAACTAGTAACATAATGTGACAAGTTATTCAAGTACAAACGAGTGGACTGTTGCGGAACTTATGGGTGGACCTCTGCGGGACGAGCGCAGCGAGTTCCGCAGCCATCTATTCATCAATATGTTGTTTAATATCGATACTAACTTGACTCACTCAAATGTGAGTTATTCTCATTAGTTTAAAAACTACATGTTTTAGGTGAATGACTCACTTGAACAGTTCAACAGTATATTGGTGAGTAGATGGCTGCGGAACTCGCTGCGCTCGTCCCGCAGAGGTCCACCCATAAGTTCCGCAACGATTCACTCGTTTATACTTGAATAACTTGTCACATTATGTTACTAGTTTGGTAAAGTAACATTACTAATTCCTGTAGAAAGGCAAATTGACAAAAAATGAATAATCATAGTCTCACAAATTTTGACTTTATATAAGTTATTGGTCAAGTACAAATAAGTGGATTATTGCAAAACTTATGGGTGGACCTCTGCGGGACGAGCGCAGCGAGTTCCGCAGCCATCTATTCATCAATATGTTGTTTAATATCGATAGTTACTTGAACAGTTCAACAGTATATTGGTGAGTAGATGGCTGCGGAACTCGCTGCGCTCGTCCCGCAGAGGTCCACCCATAAGTTTTGCAATAATCCACTTATTTGTACTTGACCAATAACTTATATAAAGTCAAAATTTGTAAGTCTATGATTATTTACTTTTTGTCAATTTGCCTTTCAACAAGAATTAATAATGTTACTTTACCAAACTAGTAACATAATGTGACAAGTTATTCAAGTACAGTGGATTGTTGCGGAACTTAAAGGTGGACCTCTGCGGGACGAGCGCAGCGAGTTCCGCAGCCATCTATTCATCAATATGTTGTTTAATATTGATACTAACTTGATTCACTCAAATGTGAGTTATTCTCATTAGTTTAAAAACTACATGTTTTAGGTGAATGTCGTACTTGAACAGTTCCACAGTATATTGGTGAGTAGATGGCTGCGGAACTCGCTGCGCTCGTCCCGCAGAGGTCCACCCATAAGTTTTGCAATAATCCACTTATTTGTACTTGACCAATAACTTATATAAAGTCAAAATTTGTAAGACTATGATTATTCACTTTTTGTCAATTTGCCTTTCTACAGGAATTAGTAATGTTACTTTACCAAACTAGTAACATAATGTGATAAGTTATTCAAGTACAAACGAGTGGATTGTTGCGGAACTTAAAGGTGGACCTCTGCGGGACGAGCGCAGCGAGTTCCGCAGCCATCTATTCATCAATATGTTGTTCAATTACGATAAATCAAATCAAATATATTACCATATTTTCCTATGTTACAGAGCTGTGACTTATTTCTAGAAGCTTACAATTAACAAAGTCTGAAATATAGTTTAAATTGCCCCTAGGTAGACAAGACCACCTGTACATGCAATGTGTGTGTAAGATTGTTTGACAATGGGTGGTATGAATAAAAACGAAGTACTTGCTACTACTACAAGTATTATTAGTATGTTCTACGTAGTATTTACTTCAAAACGAAGTAGATACTACATTTCAGTAGTTTCGAAATGTAGTATCTACTTCGTTTTGAAGTAAATACTACGTAGAATATACTAATACTTCTAGCAGTAGCAAGTACTTCGTTTTTATTCATACCACCCAATATCTCTCTTTCCCTCTATAACACTACAATTATTAATTAATAAACATATATTATACATATATTCTTTCCCCATTTCACATATACACAAAAATACTATACCAGGTATATTTGCCAACAAAAAATAAGCTTTTGAACCGCAACTGCTTTGTAATTAACTCATAATTTAATAACCAATTTAACTTTTGGCCTGATTATTCAATATATAAAAACAAATTACAAACTTAAAAGCCAAAACAAATTTATTCCAAAAATACAATGTACATTATCCAGGTTACAATTGTTTTTGAATTGCAATCGAAGTTTGATTGGGTTGAAGCTGATCCCTACCCACATACTTCTTAAAAAAGTATTTCACCATTGTAAAGACAAACATCCAAGATACAGCGTAAATGGCCACCGACATAAAAATAAAATCCCAATCGTTATTAGGCTGTTTGACAATAACAGTCAGAAAATACGTGCCCAAAATCAGCCTGACAACAATGAATACAAGGAAAAAGCTGATTTCCGTTGAATAGAAAACGGGTGCCGATTGGAACCCGTAAGTCCTCAGGAACCATCTGATTTGCAGGAAGGGGTTGGTCAGTTCCATGCAGCCCAGGGCGCATGTGGTTTGGGCCCCGGAGTAACCTTTGAATATTATTCTGGTCAGGGCGAAAATGCATATCAGGTGATGGCACATCATTGTTTTGTCTACAAAAATTAATTATTTTAATGGGGTTTTGGATTTGGTTGGTATTGCAGATCAATTGGATCATGAACAATATGAGACTTAATTGGCTTGATTTATAGAGAATTTAATACTCTTTTCAATGATATATAATTTATTACAATTTGCTTAAATGTTAGTGAAAATATGAGGCATTATTCATAATCATGTCAAAATTTTCCAGATTTTATACAATACATATTTGTTTCTACATCAAAATTGCCATTTGGAAATTATGGTAGGGTTGTTTCCCACTAATTTTGACCTGCTCCATCGATTGGTAAAGTCAAAATTGAGAAAAGCTCAAAAATTAAAAAATTGAATTTTTGACTCATTTATTAAGGCTGAATTCTAATTTGAAAATCTTCAAACCTTGGTATTTCGGTATCCGTTTGGAATATCGGAACAAAATTTTCAAGGATTGTAGCTCCTATTAGGCTCTAAAAAACCTGCATCTAAAAATAATTCTGCATTTATAGTTATTGAGAAAATTGAGTATACAATTTTTGACAAAATTTTGACTAAAAGTTAACTTTGAGGGTCAATTGCTCCGAAAGTGTTCGAGGTATCAGAACGAATCCAGCGCTGATTTATAGACAATTTAATGCGCTTTCCAATGATATATAGTTTATCTCAATTGCTTAGATTTCGACGGAAATATTGGCCATTATTCTTAACTATGTCAAAATTTTGAAAATTTTCCAGTGACAGGTTCAATGGCTCAAAAACCATATGAGCTATCAAATATCAAACTGAATTTAGTATCGATTTATAAAGAATTTCTAATGACATATAATGTAATACCAACCATTACATCACAGTTAAAATATACCTTCTCTCTCATATTTAAGCATCCAAAAAGTATCGTGGATAAAATACCCCCAGCTCATATTCAAAATGAACGTTTGCAAGTAGCTTGTCTTCCATTCGGGATGTTCGAAGGGCCAATCGAACAAAAAACACTGATTTATACCCATAAACGCAGCCACAAAACCGTGAATAAATGAACAAATCCTACAGCTGAACAGTGGCGGCCTCTCTTTTAAATAAGCCCTATGGAATTAGTAGATAAGGTTTTTTCGTAGTAGTTTTAAATTGTTACCGTAGCAAGACATAGATTAATCTCCAAGTGACTGCGCTGATTAACATGGAAATGGGGCTTTCGTAGTTGATGTGCCCATCTTTGAAGTAAATGTTGTAGTTTATTGGGGCTGAGTGAGACGTTTGGTTTTCTTCCATAATTTTGATAATTTTGTTATGACATCAGTCACAAATGTGACAATAACGTGTGTAGGAATTATTCATATTTGAAAAGAGGGTATTCGGTGGGAACTCCAACAGTATACACTACACATTGTTTTTCAATGTTTTTTTTTTTCAACAATTTAACTGGAAAAATACAAAGTCGACATACAGGAAAATGTAATGTGGGTACAAAATGGAGGACAAACTTGGACGCACAGGAAACTGTAATGTCGGCACAAAAATTTAGGACAAACTTAGAGACAGGAAACTATAATGAAGAGTGCGGTTTTTGACGTATGTGTGGAATATTCTAGAAATTGTGAGAACAATATCTGAATATGGTAAAACTTACACAATTCAGTCAAATAATGCATATTTACGCAGTAATAATGTCTCGCTTTCTATAGTTCATTAATCTACAGTCACAATACTAGTCCAGAAAGTCATTGGGGTTCACTATAAAACCTCAGGCCCCACGTTGGGCGCCAAATGTGTAGCAGGTATCGGTGGGAACTCCAACACTATACACTACACATTGCTTTTCAATTTTCTTTTTTTAACAATTTAACTGGGAAAATACAAAGTCGACAGACAAGAAAATGTAATGTGGCTACAAAAATTTAGGACAAACTTAGAGACAGGAAATTGTAATGAAGAGTGCGGAATAAGGGAGTGTGGTTTTTGACGTCCAGAAATTGTGAGAAAAATATCTGAATGTGGTAAAGCTTACACAATTCAGTCAAATAACGCACATTTACGCAGTGATAATGTCTCGCTTTCTATAGTCCATTAATCTACAGTCACAAAACTAGTCCAGAAAGTCATTGATAAAACCCCAGGCCCCACGTTGGGCGCCAAATGGGTAGCAAGTTAACATTTAAATTTTTAGTATGGTTTAATTCTTAATTCAGAAGTATAAACCAGGCATAATAGATTCAAAACAAAGCTCGAAAACATTATAGAGTAAAGTACAATTGTCCCGATCAAAATCCCATTAAAATTTCGATTCACGAATGAAATCCCACCGAAAACAAAGTGCCCTCTCCCCGTAATGACATTGCGGTCCGGTTAAAAGCTGCACTAAAACACCGGACCGCGGTCGAAAATTATTTATTCAAATCACACTAGCTTTAAGCCCCATTTAACATTTTGCAAAATGGCCCCAATCATAACCTAAAAATTGTTTGTAAGATTTTGGAAGTTTTTTGCTGTAATGACACAATGAGCAAACTTTGATTGTTAATTAAAAATTTATAATTGAAACTCCAGCAGCATAAAAACACTCAGTGTATAAAGGGAAACTTGGCTAACTGTAAAGTTTTTTTGTCTTATTTTTAGTACACCGCCATATATACTTTACTAAAGAGAACTTCTCGTAAACTGGGAAGAAAAAGGAAAAACCTGCTCACAAGTGAGCAGTAAATCCTGCTTGCAAAAGATTCCGCTAGATTTAGAGCCAGTGTCGTAAACAGATCGTCTTTCAAATCCGATTTTGCTTTTACTCCTCTTGTTTTTCTGCTGCTGTGGGTAATACCTTTATAATGGAAACAGATTTTTAATTTAGAAAAATTCCTCTAACACATACATAGAACAAATAATTGAATTTAAAAAGAGTTCCAGAAGCTCTAACATCATTTCCCACCCACGTCGAAATAAATGGAAAAGTTTTCTTGTTCTGGAACCGAAAGGTTAATTATTATCGAGGAAAAAGTTTAGTTAGTTAGCAACACACAAATTAAATTTTAAAGACAAAAAATCGCTGTCCTAGACAAATACTCAAATATTGGTTCAACCGGAGTAGTGCGGTTCCCGGTCTTAATTACTTAATATTTGCCGGGCGCGAAACGAACCGAGATACCTCTCTCTCTAGGGACTTTCATTTAATTAAGCGAATCACTCTTTAATCAAAGTTCGGCCTCTCCGACTAACTATTTAAACGCATATTTGATTGCATAATTTGCAGAATTAATTGTGAATAATCTTGTTGGTACAGTGAGTTTGGCTATATTTAAATGAAACACTCTGTATAATATAAGGCTTTGGAGGTGTATATATGGGGAGAGAACTGTGACGAGAATCAGTCTTGCATTAAGATCTACGCTATACAATTATCTTAGGAACTATAAGTGCAAATGAGCTGAAATTTCCAGGGATTATAGTCCCTTGATTGGGATAAAATTCAGTGGAAGTTTCAGCTTTCTATCTATAATAGAAAAAAAGTTATGACCTTTCAAAGTTTTCCATAATCTAAATCATAAGGTAGGTACCTTCTAGGTCTATAAACCTAGCAGTCCCAAGGTGGAAAAAAACTTCGGGAACTATTTAATAATTAGGTGCTTTTTAGGTGCTAATTAGGGCCTCTAGTTAAAAATTAGGTGCTCCTTTAGTTTTTGAGAAAACCAAAAAAAACTAAGGGACTGCTAGGTTTATAAAAGCTAGCAGTAGCAGTCCCCTATAGTAAAAAATATTTTTTCAAATGTTTTCTTTGTATCAGAATTAGGTGCTTTTTAGGTGCTCCTAAATAGTCGAAGAAAAAATGGAATTGATTAATTATTAACTGAGTTACAGATTTTTTTTTAATTATAAGGGGACTGCTGGCTTTACATGTTGGTGTGTCAGAATGGAAAAAAACTTCGGGATCTATATAATAATTAGGTGCTTTTTAGGTGCTAATTAGGGCCTCTAATTAAAAATTAGGTGCTCCTCTAGTTTTTGAGAAAGTCAAAAAAAAACTAAGGGATTGCTAGGTTTATGAAAGCTAGTAGTCCCCTAATAATAAAAAAAAATCTATAACCTAGAACGCCGCCGGTCAATTGCATCCCTGTTAGCTCAGGTAATATTTTAAGTGTCCGAATTACATCCGCCTAACATCCGAATTGCATCCCGGAACAAATTTTAACTACAGGTATATATTTTCCAAAATGAAAACCATTGTTGCCAAGTGTATATTTCCAAATTGTTAATGTTGTTTAAACTCGCCTCTATGAATATATTATTACCTGTATTACTTATACCTACCTGTTATTGTTTTACCACCCTATTGAGACCATTTATTTACTACAGTTGTTGCAAAGATGGATGTAAAATTTTTGACTAATGAAAAACATCCAACTTTAATTGAAATTGGTGGTTATACATTTACATTTTGCTATCAAAAAATATTGGCCAGAAATACTTTAAAAAGGTGGCAGTGTATACGAAGAAACTATAACAGCAAATTTTGAAAGTGCGATTCATAAAGCGATTTCTCAGGCATTTACACAAACCGCCATTCGAGGTTGTAGATTTTATTTGGGACAATCCTTATAGAAAAGTTGAAAAAATTGGCTTATCATTTGCATACCAGAATAAATCAGGGGAGGATACGCAAATATCAACATTTTTGACGTATATATTTGGCATTCAGCATCTCTTCAAAAAACTACAAATGCTTGCGAATCTTTTCATTCCAAGTATAATTCATCTTTTTATCCTAATATAAACGTTTTTTTAAATGTTTTATTAGGATTTCAAATAGATACATATGTTAAAATTACTAGCATACAAATTGTACCCGAAATTGACTCACAAACCTTACATAAACAACATTTTATCCAAGGGAAACTCAAAAACTTGAAAGATAATAAAATAGATAAATTTGAATTTGTAAAAGCGGTTTCGTATAGATTTAAGGCTTAAGTATTTTTATTATTAAGAATATAATAATTTTGACTAACTTTGAGCAGACTAATTATTAAAAAGTAACAAGCTGTTAAAGAATTTTAGCAAAATGTTGCAACGTTGTTGCTTAATTTACCTGTGTTCCACTGAAAGGTAACTTCAAAAGGTGGATGCTTGCGGGATGCAATTCGGACAGTACCTTTTTCAGGCCAGGTATAAGTAATTATTCTGGGATGCAATTCGGATCCGGCCCCTAGAAAGCACCTAATTCTGATATAAACGGAAAATTTGAAAAAATATTTTTTACAATAGGGGACTGCTAGCTTTCATAAACTTAACAGTCCATAAGTTTTTTTTTGATTTTCTCAAAAACTAAGGAAGCACCTAATTTTCAATTAGAGGCCCTAATTAGCACCTAAAAAGCACCTAATTATTATATAGTTCCCGAAGTTTATTTCCACCTTGGGACTGCTAGGTTTATAGACCTGTACCTTCTAGCTAAAACGATGAAATTTCAAATTTTTTTCTGTCAAGATTTTGTATCCTAATGGTCAATTAACATCCCCCAAGCTCCATACTGAACAGAGTTGGGACCTTTGTTGTAGTTCACTAGAGGGTTGTAAGGCCTCCACTAAATTATTCTCAGATTTGAAGCCGAAACCGAAACCTATGAAAAAAGGCACTCAGAAAAATTGGAAAATTGATAAATAACCCCAAATTGCTTAACACGATTTTATCTCAGGAACTATAACTGCAAATGAGCTGAAATTGTCAGGGATTGTAGTCCCCTACCGGAGTAAGAATAGCTGAAAATTTCAGCTTTCTATCTTTAATAGAAAAAAAGTTATGACTTTCCAAAGTTTTCCAAAATCTATATTATTATGGTTTTTTTTTTTTTTTTTTTTTTACGGATATGCGCACTCGCAAGGAAATGTCCTATCACGCTCGAGGAGCGGCAAGTGCGCGGAAATGTCGGTGTATGTTGGTCTTGAAACGGTTCAGGTTGTAACCTGCAGGGAAAACCGTCGCAGGGAGTTTATTCCACAGCGATGCTGTTCTCCAGAGATATGAATTCTGATATAATGAGGTTGTTGGTGCCTCTAGTTTGACAGTAAATTCATGGTTACCGTCTGTTTGACGGGTTCGCCTGGTAGGCGCTACTCTCGGTGGAATCATACGTGCCAACTCTTCAGAGCATTTTCCGTGATAGTACCTGTAGAAGAGAGATAAATCGCCCACAGATCTGCGATGTTCGAGACCATCCAAGTTACGTGTAAGTGCGGGGTCATTGATCAGCTTGATAGCTCGTTTTTGCAC